CTTTGTAGCCCAGGCTGGTCTTGAACTCACAGTGATCCTCCTGCCTCAGCCTCCCAAGTTCTGGGATTATAGGCGTGCGCCACCACACCTGGCTCACTTGTGAAAATAGAATGCCCTAAAATCCTAAATAGGATATTTATTTTTTATCAGCCTACTGATAGTAGGATTTATTTTTATGATTAACTCTTATAGTATACCAAAAGAGAAACCTGTAATGATAAAGCATTTGTTAAAAATTAATAACTACTCTTGCTTTACAAAAAGAAAACCATTAGAATCCTAGAATAACAATTACCTTAACTTTGATTTTTTTTTAAAAAAAGATGTTCACTAGTAATCTATGGTAAATATTATACTTTAATGTAAAAAGTACGCTATAATCCCAGTAGTTTGGCAATAAGACAAGGATGCCAGTAAGACAAGGTCACTGCCATTGTTTACTGATACAACTAATTTAACCAAAGAAATCCACCAGTATACTAATATGAAAATAGGGATTGAATAAAATACTTTTGATAGGTATTGTGAAGAACAAAAGAAGTGGTATTTAAAGGTACTAATTCTTGATTTTTATTTAGTATACATTACCACTGGAGCTGATAAATCAACAGAACCTGACAGAGTGGGTAGAAATTTTGAAGACTGTTGTGAATAGGGATGTACCTAATGTAAGTTTCTGGGTGTTCTTTTATATTACAAAATTTGAATATTTCAAAAAATTTGTTTCAAAGTGGTTGTAGCATTCTCAGTGGAGTTTGAGTTTTGTACTCTCACTTGTACTCACTTATCCTAATGTGATAGAATTGTCGTGTCTTAGGTTGGTGTGTAAGCAAGCTCATTCCTTTAATGGTTATATGGTACTTTTGGCTTATTAACAATGTTTAAGCTCTTGAGATTTTTAGCTATATGAATAATATTTAAATGAATAGTGATGTATACATATCCTTGTGCATTTACATATATGTCTGAAACTAGATTTTTTTTTGCATGTGGGTGTAGTTTTTTTGTTTTGTTTTTGGTACTGGGAATTGAACTCGGGACCTTGTACTTGTGAGGCAGGCTGTAGAACCCTGGCCCTGTTTTGTTTTAATTTGTTTGGGGTTTTTTAAATAAATTTTTAAAATCCCATTTTCCCCTCTCTACGTACAGTAGTTTTTTTTCTATTTTTTTTTCCTCCTACTGAAACTAGATTTCTTTTCTTTTTCTGTTTCTTTCTTTTTTTTTTTTTTTTTTTTTTTTTTTTTTTTTTTTTTTTTTTTTTTTTTTTTGTATCCGGGATCAAGCTCAGGATCTTGGGTGCTTGGCAAGGCAGGCAATGGAACCACTGGGCTAAATTCCCGGCCCTGAAACTAGATTTCATTTCTAAAGTGAGCTCTCTCGTGGCCTTTATAACTTCTGGTTTTGATAAACCTATTTCTGTCATGGTCATGACAACATTATTTCCATCTTGTCAAATGTTTAGTTTTAAGCGTTTGTAAGAGTTTTAAAAGCATATCCACTGTAACCAAGTAGTGAGGCAGTGAGGGCCCCTCAAATAAAGACCATCATTAAAGTTGTGCACATTTTGAGTCTATTCTCACTTGATGCTGTTCCTCCTAGACTGTATCATCTCTTACTATCATTAAATCAATGTCTCTTTAAAGGAAACCCTTCAAGTTGAAGAAGATGATAGACCTGAATTACCATGGTGGAAATGTAAGAAGTGGGCTTTACATATTTTAGCCAGGCTTTTTGAAAGGTAAGTCCTTTCCATGTATGGTGATTTACATTTAGTTTTTAAAGTTTCTGCTTTTATAAGCCCAAGTACCAAATATTATAAAGAGATAATTGTCATTTTAATGTTTTACTAGATATGGAAGCCCTGGCAATGTTTCCAAGGAGTATAATGAATTTGCTGAAGTATTTCTGAAGGCATTTGCTGTTGGTGTCCAGCAAGTAAGTCTACAGTAGTTTTTCTAAGTACAAGTATGTTACTTTTAAAGTTAATAATGTGTCTTTCTCTCTTTTTTGGGGGTGGGATGGGGTTGGGGATACCTTGGATCGAACTCAGGTCTTGGAGCTTGAGAACCAAGCAGTAGCACCACTGACTATTCTAGTTTCTTTTTCATCTAAAGAGTGCATGCTTGAACCCTTTACCAGTTCTCAAACATTTTTGGTCTCAAAACTTTATAATTCTTAAGAGTCTCACTGTATAATCCAGACTGGCCTTGAACTTGAGGCAGTCCTTCTGCCTTGGCCTCCTAAGTGCTGGGATTACAGGTGTGTACCTCTACACCTGGCCTACGACTGAAATTTTTGAAGACCTCACCAGGCTGTCCATTTATCTGTGTAATACTTAGCAAATTAGATGTTAAAGACAAATTTAATAGTTAAATAGGCCACAATGGTGCATGCCTGTAGTCCCAGCTGCTTGGGCAGTTAAGGCACAGAGATCAGTTGAGCCAAGGAATTTGTGGCCAGCCTGGGCAACATAGTAAGACAGCCACCCATGTCCCCCATCTCAGAAAGAATAAACAATTACATACTAACAGAAAACTTTTGTTGGGGGAGGCAAAAATAAAATAATAACTTTTCCAGAATGAAAAATTTTAGAAAGCGGAATAACCGCTTTTACACATTTTTTTCTAATGTCTTTTATGACTAGCTTCATAAAAGGCATATGGATACTTACTGTGTGGTTCTGTATTCAATCTTTTATTTTAGTTGATATTAAAAGTAAGAAAATGTGGCCTGGGTGGGGTGGCTGAGGCAGGAGGATTGCCACGCTTTGAGGCCAGCCTGGGCTCCATCATGAGTTCAAGGCTATGCTGGACTACATGGCGAGACTGTCTCAAACCATGCCATCCAAAAAAAAAAAAAAATGTGGGCTCAACAGGTATAATGTAAAAAGGAAGCTATTTTAATAGACTCTTTAGATAATTATGGGATTTTTGTATGTGGGTTCTGGGGATTGAATGTAGAGGCACTTTAGTAGTACTGAGCAATACTCCTAGGCTTTTGTTTTTGTTTTTAGAGACAGAGTCTCGCTATATAGTTCAGGCTGTTCTTCAACTCACTGGCCAAGGATGGCCTCACATTTAGAGTGATCCTCCTGCCTCAGCCTCCTGAGTGCTGCCGTATCTGGCTGTGTATTCTTAGCCTTTTTATTTTGACACAACTTTGCCTAGGCTGGCCTTGAATTTGGGACTCTCCTGAGTAGCTGGGATTACAGTTGTATGCAGCTGTGTCTAGCTGGAAATTCTTCATAATTTGACAGTGGCAGTGTTTTATGTTAGGTTTGTTTGTTTGTTTGCTTGTTTTGGTACTGGGGATCAAACTCAGGACCTTGTGCTTGGGAGGCAGGTGTGGCACCATTGAGCTAAATTCCCAGACCTAAAAGTTTTTTAAAAGCCAGGTGCAGTGGGATACACCTATAAATTCAGTACAGTATTTGGAAGTCTGAAGCTGGAGTGTAATATGGTCGAGGTCATTCTGGGCAATTTAGGGAAACCTTGTCTCAAAAAAAGAAAACAAGGGCTGGGGATTTAGCTCAGTGGTTCTGTCACCTGCCTTGCAAGCATAAGTTCAATCCTTAGTACCCCCCAAAAAAGGAAACAAAACAAAATCTTAATTACAATGGGTGCAGCTTGAAACTAAACACATTTACATTCGGTTATTATAACTCACTGATAAGTACATATCAAACTTTTTTTTTTGTACCAAGGATCGAACTCAGGTCCTTGCGCTTATGTACATATCAAACTTTGACTATTGTATTTATGTACATTTACACATGATTTTATAATATCCTGGACCTGGCATTTGAAAATGTTGGTTCACTATATTGATGCAAAACTATGTTTCAGTATTAGAAAACTAGCTAGGCATGGTACCACATATCTGTAGTTCCAGAACTCTTGGCAACTGAGGCAAAAGGATTGCTGCAACTTTCAGGCCAGCCTGGACTATGTAGTGAGTTAAAGAAAGAAGAAACGCTATCAAACAAATGGTGGTGGATCCAAGCTTTCTAGAACTCATATTTTTTGCTTGAAAGCTTCAATTTTAATACCAGTAGTAATATGTTAACTATTTTCCTTGAGGTAATGGGTTTATTTCTAGAAAAATACCTGCCATGTGCAAGTGTCTAAATACCTTTCTTTAATTGACTCTCTGGTCTTTGAAATATAAAATACTTTTTTATGGAATAAGTGACTATTTTAGCTTGCAAGTCAGTCTCACAAGTGCTTTCCTTACATCCATTATATTGTGGTGTTTAGCATGTAGACCGTATACTTCTTGTTTAGTAATTTAATAGTTACAAGTTTTTTTGTTGTTGCTTATGTAGGGCATTTTTAAGGAAAACTTGCTTACAAGTTTGTGACTAATTGCCCCTCCCTTGATTCATGTTAGACATCAGGCAGTTTTAGTATTATTTATGCAAATGTCAAAATCCTAACTCTGAATTTAAAAGGGATTTTAAAAAGTTGCCTGGAGGGCTGGGGGTTTGGCCCAGGGGTGACCCCACCTGCCTTGCAAGCCCAAGTTCTCCAGTTCAATCCCTGGCACCAAAAAAAAAAAAAAAAAAATTCAAACAAAAAAGTTGCCTGGAATCCCAGAGCTCAGAGACTGAGAAAACAGGATCATGAGTTAGAGCATAGCTGGGCTCAGTGATACCCTAGTGCCTCACAAGTGGCGCAAGGTCCTAAGTTCTATCTCCAGTACCACAAAAAAAAAGAAAGAAAGAAAGAGAGAGAGAGAGAAAGAGAGAAAGAAAAGAGAGAAAGAAAGGAAGGAAGGAAGGAAAGAAAAGAAAAGAAAAGAAAAGAAAAGAAAGAAATAGAAAGAAAAGAGAGAAAGAAAGGAAGGAAGGAAGGAAAGAAAAGAAAAGAAAAGAAAAGAAAGAAAAAAAGAAAAGAAAAGAAAAAAAGAAAAGAAAAGAAAAAAAAAAAAGAAAAGAGCATAAAACATAACCTGGGCTGGGGATTTAGCTCAGTGGTTCTACCACTTGAGGTCCCAAATTCATCCCCATACCCCACCTAAAAAGTAAATAAATAACAAAACCATTAGCTGGGCGGGGTGGTTCACACCTCTAATCCAAGCACTCAGGAGACAGGCAGAAGGATTACAAGTTCAAGGCTAGCCTGAACTACATAATGAGTTCAGGCCAGTCTGAACTCTACACAGTGAGACCATGTCTCAAAAACAAACCATATAAAAAGGTAAATAAGGCCAGGCCTGGTGGCACACACCTGTAATCCCAGCACTCAGGGCGCTGAGGCAGGAGGATCTCTGTGAGTTTGAGACCAGCCTGGGCTACATAGTTCCAGGTCAGTCTCAACTACATAGTGAGACCCTGTCTCAAAAAACCAAAAAAAAAAAAAAAAAAAAAAAAAAAAAAAAAAAAAAAAAAAGGTAAATAATACCATGAAATAGATTTGACATAGTAGGCCTTCTGAAAGGTCTGGGGATCACCAGAGGTATATGGATCACACTGAAAATCAGCATTCTAAAACATCAGGTGGGTGAGGTTTCCTAGAAGCTGACCCATAGGACAGGGCACTCTCAGACTACCAAGAGATTGTGGTGGTTATTTTGTAGTGAGTATCAAATGTTTTTATTGGCCTGTATTGAGCTTTGGTTTTTAATCAAACTTTTTTCCCCTAAAGGTTTTATTGAAGGTATTATATCAGTACAAGGAGAAGCAATATATGGCTCCTCGAGTTTTACAGCAAACATTAAATTACATTAATCAAGGAGTTTCCCATGCCCTTACTTGGAAGAATCTGAAGCCTCACATACAAGTAATAATTTTCTATATGAAATGCTTTTTTTATAAATAATATCATTAATTGCTATAAAAGTTTAACAATTTTGTTGAATGTGTTAGCCTACTTTTGATGATTGTTTTGATAGTGGCAAAAAAAGGAGTTGTAACACTTTTACAAAGTTATAAGAGGTAGTTTATTAATATTCAGCTCGATTTTAATCAGGGTAAAGCTGTTACCTTCAAACAGTCTTACTATTGCATTATAATTAGTTGACATTGTGTCATATAGTTTGGCATAAGCAAAGAATTTTATTTCACCAAAAATGTTTTTAGAATAATGGGCTTATAATTTATTAGAAAAGGTATGGCACTGTAGTTGATCTGGGAATCTTTGAAACAGTAATTACGTTTGGTATTAAGTTCTTAAATAGAGTCATTTTTATTTTACTACTTAAAGGAGATTGGACAGTTCAGATCTGAAATTGAAGGCTTAACTTTTCTTAACTTTTGAATTGCAGGGCATTATCCAAGATGTTATTTTTCCGTTGATGTGCTATACAGATGCTGATGAGGAACTTTGGCAAGAAGACCCTTACGAGTATATACGCATGAAGTTTGGTAAGGAAGTTTTAGGACAGAATGTCCATAGTTAAGATCAGAGTGTCGGCGGGTGTTTGGTAGAAGGCTGCCTTTGTTGTTGAATGTAAGTTATCCCTTGTTAGACCTTTGTGAGGCTCCAGTGTTCATTAATTATGGTATTTTATAACAATAATCTTTATTCTTAGCAGACACTATTATAATAGTGTTATTAGTCTTGATAATTGGACATAGCTTCAGACATATACCAAAGCTTAGTCATGATTTCACCTTAACATGAGGGCCTATATTTTGGGAACCCGCGGTAGTTATCATAGATGTATAGGGAAGCTGTGTCACTTGGGATACCTGCATGAAACAAAGAATTATGATCTGGCTAATGTTCAACATTAGTCCTTCCTACCACAATCTGCCCTTTTTGTAGTTTGTACTTTGGTGATCCAATTGTGAAAATTCTCACACTGGTAGTGTTTTGTATGAAAGAATATTATTAGGAAAACTGGTTGATTAACATTTAATTTGTATAGAAAAGATATTGAATTAGATCTTGCAAAATTATATACAGTTTGGGGTTCATTTTCCTATTTATATGAAATTTAGCAAATTTTTAAATGCCCCGTTTTTTAACAGAGCATAATTTGTAATTAGAGATGAAAATGTTTTATAAGAAATTAAGATTACTATTTTCTATCTTAATTTTAAATTTGTTCTCTAGATGTCTTTGAAGATTTCATTTCTCCAACCACTGCTGCCCAGACACTTTTGTTTACAGCCTGTAGTAAGAGGAAAGAGGTAAGTTATTTAATGAACAGGTAGCTCTTGGTATATTATTTAAAATTTGTTCAGATACACAGTCAGTTTTAAATGTTATGTGAGTAGTTTTATTTCTGTTAGCTTGTTTTTAAGGAATGTTATTCAATAAAGTGTTACTGGTCTTTTCATTTAGGTATTGCAGAAGACTATGGGATTTTGTTACCAGATTCTTACAGAACCAAATACAGATCCTCGAAAAAAAGATGGAGCCTTGCATATGATTGGCTCTTTAGCTGAAATACTTCTGAAGGTATTTCTTTTGTAAATATGTGCATGCAATTAACAGTTTCATTGCGTTACACTATACATATAGTGCAAACACACACACACTTTTTTTGAGACGGGGTTTCTGTACTTTACGGTGGCCTTGAACTCACTATGTACTCCAGGCTGCCTGGACTTGTAACGGTCCTCATGCCTCTGCCTCCCAAGTGCTGTAACTACAAGTGTGTGCCACCATACCCGGCAGTTTCACCATTTAAAGTGTTCAACCCAGTGTTTTTGTAATATATTTACAGAGTTTTACAATAACCATACCTAGCTAATTGCAAAATAGTTTTATATTTTCATACCCCAAAAAGAAACTCTGGACACATTAGCAATCACTACTTCCCAACCTCCCAGCCCTTTGTTACCCATAATCTGCCTTTGTTTGGGGGTTTTTTTAGACATTAAAATGAAGTGAGGGCCAGGGCTCAGTGGCACCACGCCTGCCTGGCAAGCACAAGGTCCTGAGTTCATTCCCAGTACCAAAAAAAAAAAAAAAAAAAAAAAAAAAAAAAGAGGAAGGAACACACCCTTTCTAGGCATGAGAGTACACACCTGTAATCCAGAGGATGGGACAGGAGAATCTCTTAAGGGTTTGAGTCCAGCCTGGCTACATAGCAAGACCTTGTCTCAAAATCCCCCACCCTGTGTGAATGAAAGGTGCAAGCCTGCCATGGTGGGACACACATATAATTCCAGGACTCTAAGAGGCTGAGGCAGGAAGATAGCAAGTTGGACCACAGCCTGGGGGTCTTCGTGAGACCTTATCTCAAAAATACAAAGGGTTGGGTGTATAGCTCAGTTGAAGGACTTGGAATCAGTTCCCCTGTGATGGGGGTACATTACAATATGCGGTCTTTTGTGAGCAGGTTCTTTGTAGTTCTCAGGGTTTATCGTTTCATAGCATATCAGTATTTACCCTCACTTCTAGTGCTGGGGATTGAACCCAGAGCATTCCTACCTAGGTACAACCCCAGCTCCCTGTCGTTTTTTTGTTATTTTGAGACGGGCTCTCCTTAAGTTGCCCAGGCTATGCTTGAATTTTTGATTCTCCTGCCTTGGCCTCCCAGGTTTGCTTATTCCTTTTTATTACCAAATAATATTAAGTTGATATACCACACTTTACTTACCCACTCATCAGTGGATAGACAGTGGCTTTCTTTCTACTTTTTGGCTATTATGAACAAGAGCATCCTCTTGTGCTTAGGACTTTCTGAAGCAGTCCTAGGAAGTCTCTTTCATGAATATTTTTACTTACGTTATTGTGGCTACCTTGAATGAGTTCAAAACATGTACTTTCACTGTCTCTTTGACTTTGTGAAAAAGCCTGAATTTACATAGTGCAAAATCCAATGAAGAAGGTAGTTGAGGACTGGCTATGTTTTTAATTATTTTTGTTTCTTTCTAGCTGTTTTTACAAGCCTGCCTTTCCACTGGCTGGTACTTAGCATTTAGCATATTTTCAGTCACACCTTATAAAAACATTCATGAAATTGGACTTGCAGAACTGTTTTAGGAAGTGACAAGAATGATGGGATAAATATGTATAGTGTATGGGAGTAATGCGAGGGGAAATAATGGCGTTGTGTCTTACTGTAATGTTTTTGTTTTGTTTTGTTTTGGTACTGGGGATCAAACTCAGGACCTTGCGCTTGCGAGGCAGGCAGCAGTACCACTGAGCCAAATCCCCGGTCCTATAATGTTTTTTATTTATGCATTCACAATGTATTTTGATCACACCTATCTAGTAAGCTAAACTGTTGGTCATATTTTGAAAAACAAGTTTTACAAAGTGGGTATGCTATTTTATATTTTCACCAGCAGTGTATGTGGGTTTTAATTTGTCCACATCCTTTCTAATACTTGTTATTTTCTTTTTATTATAGCCATCCTAGTTATGAGGAATAGTATCTTACAGTTTTGGTTTTGGTTTCCATTTTTCTGTTGGTTGATGATAATGATAATCTTTCCATGTACTTACTGGCCATTTATGGTATCTTCTTTGGAGAAATGTCTATTCAGATTATATATCCATTATAGATTGGTTGCCTTTATTGGTTTTTTTTTTTTTTTTGAGACAGGGTCTCACTATGTAGTTGAAACTGACCTGGAACTCACTATGTAGCCCAGGCTGGTCTCGAACTCATGGCAATCCTCCTGCCTCAGCCTCCCAAGTGCTGAAGTTACACACATGCATCACCACGCCCAGTGGTTGTCTTTTATTGTTGATTATTGAATGCTTACAGATCTGTATTTGAGATATTAGACCTTTTGCAAAGTATGATTTTGAAATGATATGATATGTATGTTTTTGATTTCTGTATCCACACCCCCCTACCCCACCCCACACACTTGTCAGGCAGGCACCAGTAAGCTACATCCCCATTCCTGTTTTCTGCACCCCCCCCTTTGGTAATACTGGGGATTTTGACTGAAGAATTCATTCAGGCCTTTGCACTGAGCTAGTTAGTATCTCTTAAATTGATCTTTAAGGGTTGAAATTTTTTAAAAATTATTTATTTATTTTGGTACCAGGCAGGTGGTTGAACCACTGAGCCAAATCCCTGGCTACCCAGGTTATCTTAATGCTAACATCTGTAAAAGGCCTGGCACAACTATCAAATCCAAGGGCCAGGGATTTGTGGTGCCACACCTGCCTTGGCAAGTGTAAGATCCTGAGTTCAATTCCCAGTACTGAGAGGGGGGAAAAAACCCAACTATCAAATCCAGGAAATTAATATTGATTTACTGTAATCGATAGACTTTTTACAAATTTCACAAGATTTCTCACTGATGTTCTTTTTTTGGGGTACCTAATCAAATCCATTTTGCCATATTATATTTAATTGTTACACTTTAACCAGGTATGGTGATGTAAACCTGTAATCCCAGCCACTCCAGGAGAGTGATGCACAAGGATCTCAAGCTGAAGTCTAATTTGGTCAATTTAGCCAGGCTCTGTTTCAAAAAAGGATGAGGAAAAAAAAAAGCCGGGGGATGAGGAGGGCTGGGGATTTAGCTCAGTGGTTCTGGAGCCTGACTCACAAGCACAAGGACCCGAGTTCAATCCCCAGTACCAAGAAAAAAAAGGATATAGCTCTGGACTTAATCTTCAGTACTGAAATAAATTAACCGTACTTCCATTAATTAGACACCATTTATATTAATTATTATGTAATCAAGTAACTTAAAATATTAGAAGTGTATATTCGTTGGGGATCCTGGATTCAAAGAATCAGAATAAATGTATGCTGTGGCATTAGTGGTCAATTGGAAATTCAAACAGTTATACTTGGAACTGTATAAAAATAATTGTTTCTACTTACAGAAAAAAATCTATAAAGATCAGATGGAATACATGTTACAGAATCATGTGTTTCCTCTCTTCAGCAGTGAACTAGGCTACATGAGAGCAAGGGTATGTTTTAAAGCTGTATTATTTTATATATTTATTTTTAATAATAAATTGATTTTTTTCATTTAAAACTTCTCTTCAGTGTAAATCTTGAAATGGCTGCTATAATGTGTGCATAGTTTCCATCTGTGTCTGGTAGTAGTATCTGTCTGTGTTTTGCATTCAGATTGTGCTATCCACACAAATGTCACACAGCCAGAGAGTAACTTGGGATCATAGTACTGGTCTAGTGTTGTCCTTTTGGATACATCTACCACTGGCCAGCCTCCAAATTCCCAAACAGAATTCCAGGAACAGGGTAGCTTGGGGAGTTTATTGTAAAGTATCTAAAATCACCAACTTTGTTCTTTTAAAAGGCTTGCTGGGTACTTCACTATTTTTGTGAAGTAAAGTTCAAAAGTGATCAGAACCTACAAACAGCATTAGAGCTGACAAGAAGATGTCTGATTGATGATAGAGAAATGCCTGTTAAAGTGGAAGCTGCCATTGCACTCCAGGTGTTGATCAGCAATCAAGAAAAAGGTAAAGAATTTATATGTCAAGAATAGCAAATGTCTTTACATGATTGTATAAGAAATAATTAAAAGCTAACATATTTCCTGTTTATGTAAAAGTATTTTCTACCATGTATTCCATACTGAGATTGAATATATGGCCTCACTAGCTAAGTGCTCTCTACCACTGAGCTCTACCACATCTCCAGCTGCAGAGTACTTTAAAAAAAAAATTTTTTTTTAAATCTTTAAAAAGATTAGGGTGCCAAAAAATATTTATTTCTCTTACAGCTAAAGAATATATCACACCATTTATCAGACCTGTAATGCAAGCTCTTCTTCATATTATAAGAGAAACAGAAAATGATGATCTTACCAATGTAATTCAGAAAATGATCTGTGAATATAGCGAAGAGGTTACTCCTATTGCAGTAGAAATGACACAACATTTGGTATGTGCTTTGAACCTATGATTTTTGATACTTTGTTTTATTGGGAATTGGTGGGGGCTGAGAAAGGGTCTCACTTTGGGCTGGTCTCAAACTCCCTCCATTCCTTCCTCAGCCTCCCTATATGCCACCACGCCTGGCAAGTATTTTAATTTAGTTCTCAGTATGTTGCAGATATTGTATCACAAGTGGCTTTACTTATATGTATAAAGCAGATTTTTCATAGAGTTTACTACATAGCATGTCTCTGGACACGAGCAAACTGTAGACAGATTTTCCTTCAGAGCATAGTATAATACACATAGCCTAGAATCCAACTGCAAATAAGAGTCCTTCCCAAGTGAGACCTGTTGAGCCTGGTCTTTACTATCTGCATTGTTATCAGCATCCTGCTTTTCTGAGCTCTGACCAGAATCTCCCATCAAGTTCAGTTCACAGAATTCTGGGTCTGCTTATCCAACTGACATCTCCAAACCTTTCTAAACTCCTCCTCAAGCCAGTTCCAAAGGCTTCTGAACCATATGGACAGGTAGTGTCATGGCAGTTTCACTCCTCTGGTACTAAAATCTGCCTTTTTCTCTTTCTCATCACTCACAGCTTAAGGAAGGAGTGGTTTATTTTGGCTCACAGTTTGCAGATTTTAGTCTATAGTCTGCCAGCTCCCAGGCAAGGCATGACGGTGTGGCAGAGGTGGCATGGGGCTTTGTCCTAGAGGTGCTCATGGCATAGCGGCAGGAAGCAGAGAGTATCAAGCGAGGGGCAGGAAAGTGAGGTAAACCCTTTGTGTCATATCCCCTGTGACTGCCCCTTCCAAGCAGAAGAGCAAGTCAGCTGCAATCCCATAATCCAGTCACCTTCTAAGGATCTTGCTTATAATCACGAGGCTTTACAGGGATATCTAGACATAACCCCTAATGTGCCTCTTCCAGGTCTGCTAGGACACAGCTGTTCTGCCCAGCCTCCACAAGGGTGCTTATGTCGCCCTTGTGGCGCCTCCCATTGTTCCTGAAGCACTGGACCTGCTCTGTCATTCTTCGCCTTCCGATAAAAGAGCCTTCTGAGCATTCTCGGGATCCAAGGGCACCCTGAGGCATGAGGTGCTGTGTTTCTGCCAGTACCCAAGCAGCTTTGCCTGGGACCCCCTGGAGCACATGTCTCTAGAGCTCTTCCAGGGCTGAAGTCCCACATCCCAGAAGTTCAGGCAGTTGAGGCTCCCAGCTAAAACCTCTTGGCTGGAGTTGGGCCTGTGTAGCTTCCTCCTCCCCAGTGACTCAGTGGTTTCAAACCACATCTTGGCTGATTCTCAGGTGACATCACCAGCAGCTGTGCCTCCCCAAGGAGCTAGGCCAGTTGGGAAGCAGGCACACGGGGATTGGTTGCTACTTACTCCTTTTCCCAAACAGAACACTAGCATGCAGCATGCTTCTGATTCCAATTTCTGGAGACCTAGCACTCAAAACAGCCTCCTTAGATCGAGACTTCCATCCTAAAGTCTGCAGGAATAGGCACGATATGTTCCTGATAGTATTCCTGTAAAGAAGTTTTATTGTCAACTGCATTTTGTCATTATTGTACACATACTTCTTTAGTGGCAAGATAGAAAATCACACTGAAAATGTAACCATTAATCACTCAGTTTTTAAGAAGCTGTGCTAGTTTGCATTAAAAAAATTTTTTTTGTTTTTTTCAGTAATTGGGATTGAGCCCAAGGCCTTCAAACTGAGCTATATCTCCAGCCTTATTTATTTGTTTCTTTGTTTGTTTATTTATAGACAGGGTCTCACTATGTATTTCAGACTGACCTGGAACTCACTGTGTATGTAGCCCAGGCTGGTCTTGAACTCACAGAGCTCCTCCTGCCTCAGCGTCCCTAGCGCTGGGATTACAGGTGTGTGCCACCACACCCGGCTCTTTTTTATTTTTTAAACTTGAGACAAGATCTCAGTAAATCACTAAGGTGCCCAGGCTGGGCTCAAACTTGCAGTTCTCCTGCCTCTGCCTCCCAGGGTGCCGTTGTGTTGATTACTGTTTCTCATTTCTGAGACAAAGTATCTGGACACCCCAAGATAAAAGGAAAAGGGTTTATTTAGCTCAAAGTTTATAGAGGTTTCATATCCATAATTGGCTGGCTCCAAGGCAGAGTGACATATGACAGAGGGGCCTCACAAGGAGAAACAGTTCATGGCTTCCATGTGGTAGCAAAGCAATAAAGAAGGGAGCCATTTAATAACATCTTAGAGTACTTAGGGCAGGTAGCACCCACATTCTTAACCTAGTGCCCTTGAGCCTAGCATTATATCATGACTCTTGTGCATTCCTTTACGCAAAAGGCATTTAGTCCATCTCTAAGAGTTGCCAGAGTGCTAACAGTTTCAGCATTGTTGAAGTCCAAAGTCTCCTCTGAGATTTAAGGCAAACTTAGCTCTAAGCCCCTGTATAAATGAAAAAGAAAGTGCCTCCAAACATTTAATTGCACAAGATAGACATTTCCATTCCAAAAATTGCAAACCGGGGGATAACACGGGATGAGAGCAAAGCAAGTCCCAAATCCAGCAGGACAAACATTAAATCCTGTAGTTGTGCTTCCAGCATTCCCAGCAATCTGTGACAAGTTGTGAACTCCAGAGGGCTAAGGTGGCTCTGCCCCTATCACAGTGTGGGTGGTTATAGCTCCTATGGCTTCTCTCTTGGCCCAGCTCTATTCCTTCCTTGCAACTTGCCTCAGACGATCCATGTTCCTGGCTTCTCCGAATTTCTGGGGTCTGCACTGCATCTTTTGTTTCACACTCAACAGCTTCACTCACTGCCTGGCCTCCCAGGCCTTCTTCTGAAATCTGAGTGGAAGCTTTCCTGACCCCAAAACTCTTACATTGTCCATGTACCTAAAACCAGTACCATATAGATGTCGCCAAGGTATATTATTGCCAGCTGGAGCAGTAGCCAGGCTTCTCTCTAGGCTGTAGGGGTGCACTGCCTATGAACCAAATCCCAAGGAACAGTTGTACTAGGCCTCACTTATTCTAGAACTTGGGGCTCTGGTGCTTTCTTCTCAAAGCAAGGTCTGTCTTTGCAATCCGCAACTTTATGGGAGCTTCTTTTCTGGCCATACTCAAAACATTGTTAAATCATTTTGCTGGGCTGTCATACTGCACAGCTTAAGGTGTTCAGCTCTTCTTTTTCAGCCTGCATCTCCAGATTTTTCTAAACTCTTTCCCCCAAGCTAGTGCCAAAGGCTCCTGAACCACATGGTCAAGTATAGTCACAGCAATGACCCCACTTCTCTGGTACCAAGTTTCTGTAATAACTAGCACCCAAAGTTAAAGGGGAAAAGGTTTATTTAGCTCAGTTTGTAGAGGTTTCAGTCCATTATCAGCTGAGTCCAAGACAGGGTGGCATAGAGCATGGGGGAAGCAGTTCACGGCTCCCACACAGTAAAAGCAACAAGGGAGATTCATTTAATCCTCATAATATCTTGTGAAATCTGAAGTTCTCCAAATGACATGTCAGGAGAAAGATCAAGAAAGAAATCAAGTACTGGCTTGTTTAAGGTTAACCCAGTGAGTGGAGAAAGACTTTGATTACAAACTCCAAGCTGTTAATTATTATTAATCAATTTGGAGGCACTGATGTGCTGTGCTATCCCACTGAAAACTTTTTTTTTTTTTAAAACTTTTTTTTTTTTTTTTTTTTAAATGTACTGGGGATCGAACTCAGGACCTGCATTTGAGAGGCAGGGTACAGTGCCACTGAGCTAAATTCCTGGCCCACCCACTGAAAACATTTTTAAAGTCTTGCTGGGTATGGTAGTATAGATTTATAATCCCAACACTCAGGCTAAGGCAGGAGTATCACTATTGAGTTCCAGGCCAGCCTGAACTACATAGACCCTGTCTCAAAACAAACATAAAAATAAAGTACATAATAAGTCTTACACCAGAACTTTATATATATATATATATATATGTGTGTGTGTGTACCTGGGACTGAACTGTGGACCTTGTGCTTGCCAGGCAGGCATGGTACCACTGAGGTAAATCCCCAGTCCAGGCCAGAACATTTTGTGATGCTTCAGTGACAAACCTGAATTGTATTCTAGGCAATGACATTTAACCAAGTAATCCAGACTGGGCCAGATGAAGAAGGAAGTGATGACAAAGCAGTTACAGCCATGGGAATTCTTAATACAATAGACACACTTCTTAGTGTAGTTGAAGATCATAAAGAGGTAAGAAAATGATTCAGTGTTGCACAGGTTTTATTTTTATTTTTTTGGTACTGAGGATCAAACTCAGGACCTTGCACTTATAAAGCAAGCAGGTGGTGGAACCACTGAACTAAGTTCCAGTCCCTTGCACAGGTTTTAGAAAATGTAATTTTCACATTGTAAAGGGGGGGGGCTCTGACTTACATAAAATTATATGATCATCTCATTTGTCATTTTCAATTATTTTCTTTGGCTATTGTATAAATTCTTAGTTTTAATGTGCTAGTGGAAGGAATTGGAAGCAGTTGTTTATTTTACCATCTCTTTATTGTGGGGCTCAGATTTTGACTTTTATAATAGCTTGTTTCTCAAGTCCCGAAGTACACCTCTCCTCAGGACAGCATATTATTTCTAGTTTTCATTTAAATTTTTTTTTGTTCAAAATATTTGATAAGGGGATGTAACTTGGTCCAAGTGTGCCTAGGAAGCCTGATGCTGTGGCTTCGATTTCTGGTACCAAAAAAAAGCAAATATCCCCAAAAATTTTTTGGCAAAATAATACATAAAGTTTGCCATTTTATTCTTTTTTTTGGAGGGGGGGTACCGGGGATCGAACTTAGGTCCTTGTATTTGCGAAGCAGGTGGCAGAACCATTGAGCTAAATCCCTGGCCCAAGTTTACCCTATTAAATTATTTACATGTGTACAGTTGACTAGTATTAACTACATTCAAATAGTTTTGCAGCCATTACAGTCATCTTCCTAGGTTATTTTTTGTTTTTGTTTTTGTTTTCCTGCTATCTTTTAGAAAAACAAGGGAAGTATAATCACAGAATTTTAGAAAATAACTACTGTAATGCCACCTAATCGCCCAAATTTCCTTTCCTTCCTTCTGTCCATCTCTAGTAGTAGAGATTGAACCTAGGGCCTTCACACTGGGCTGCATCCCTAGCAGAATTTTATATTGAAACAGGGTCTCACTAGGTTGTGAGGTTGCTCAAGGTAGGTTTGAACTTAATCCTTCTGCTTCGCCTCCTCAAGTGCGAGGATTACAAGCATGTATCACCATGCCTGGCTTTATTTTTTTTTCTTTTAAATTTCATCTCCAGTAAGAGACTACTTTAGGTGTTTCTTTTGTGTTTGTGCTATTTCAGTAATGTGCATGTTATTTTGAAATGGACTTAAAATGATTTGGGGGGTGGAGCACTGGACATTGCATTCAGGGTGCTCTTCTCAGGCAGGTGCTACACCACTGAGCTACATTCCTCTGACCCAAAATGATTAAATGTCACTATTTATATTAAAATGTAGTGAGTTAAAATGTACATTATTTTAGAAGTTAATTCAGTGTGTTACAGTTTCATGTGATCTTGTTTCTTCTCTTTTAGATAACCCAGCAACTTGAGGGAATCTGCTTACAAGTCATTGGCACTGTTTTACAACAACATGTCTTAGGTATAGTACTTCTTGATTGTGTTAAGAATTTAGTGTTTTTGCATGAGTAAGCATTTTCCTAATGATTCTATATTTTTTCAGAATTCTACGAGGAGATATTTTCATTGGCACATAGTTTGACATGTCAACAAGTGTCTCCACAGATGTGGCAGCTACTACCCCTTGTCTTTGAGGTCTTTCAGCAAGATGGCTTTGATTACTTTACAGGTAAGTGCAGTCAGCATGGAAAAGGACTCCCCCTTCAAATTTCATTCCTGTGTGTCTTAAACACTAAATATACACTTATGAATGCTTCAAGTGCTTCACGGTTTGGACTAACTACCAGTAGCAGTTAATGTCCAAAGGTGACACATACCATTGATTTCTTTTATGTATTTTGACTCATTTAACATGTAACTGTAAATGTGTGTATGATCTTTACTAAATTCAGAGGAATTCACTTTAATAGGTTTCTATTCGTGCATTAAAAATGAATGCATCTTAAAAGTGAGTGACAAAGACAAAATGACTTCATAATATTTTTTCTATGTAAGGTAATTTGTCAGAAAATGAAGCATTTATATTAGTGAAGATGTATAACTTGTTCTTTATGTTAATACAGACATGATGCCTCTTCTGCATAATTATGTAACAGTTGATACAGACACACTTCTGTCCGATACCAAGTATCTTGAAATGATATACAGTATGTGCAAAAAGGTAAGTTATTTTTAGATGATACCAGATTTTACTGGGTTTCTGCACTAAAATATGAAGATACCTGAAATTTATACCAGGGTTCTGACAGAATTAAAGGCTTTAAAACTTATAAATAACAACAACAAAAATCTTTGGTTTCTAGATACCACAGTGATACATTACATGTCTCCTGTCTATCCTCTGACATTTACTTGGAGTTGTAAATGTTTTGGATTTTAGTGCCTAGAGTTTACTTTAGTCTACTTCTCTGGAACCAAAAAGATAGAATCAAAACTTGAAGCTTGAAAGGATTAGAAATGGATAAAGGGCCAGGCGTGGTGGCTCACGCCTATAATCCCAGCACTCGAGAGGCTGATGCAGAAGGATCTCTGTGAGTTCTAGACTAGCCTGGGCTACATAGTGAGTTCCAGGTCAGTCTCAACTACGTGTTGAGACCCTGTCTCAAAACACCCGCCCCCAAAAAAGGATAGAGATGTCTTATAAAGAAATTGCAGTTTTAAGGAGTCTATATAGTAATAATTAGGGAAAACAAAAGATTCTAAGACCTGAGTTCGATTCTTAAAAAATAATCAGAAGTACTCTGCCATTTCCCCAGAAATCAGAGGACAAATGTAGGGTGTACAGTACTATTTTTAAATACTATTCATGATTGGGTATGGTGATGCCCACCTGAAATCCCAGCACTCAAGAGGCTTAGGCAGGAGGATCACTGTCAGTTTGAGACCAGCCTGGGCTACATAGTGAGTTCCACGTCAGTCTCAACTACATAGTAAGACCCTGTCTCAAAAAACTGAAAAAAAAAAGAAAGAAAGAAATCATAAAAAACCAACCACTGGGGATGTAGCTCAGTGTTGCCTTGCCTACCTGGCAAGCACAAGGTTCTAAGTTTGATCCCCAGTACCAGGAAGGGGAAAAAACCAACCACACAAAATGCTATTCATATAACAACAAAAGGGATAAATTTCCCCGTATTGTTCAGTTGGGGCTACAAGTATTTGCAGTCTGTCAGTGTAATTTGTCATACAGTGTTTGAATTTCTAGCAGTGTTTATTGAAAGATGGAGGCTATTACAAGTGATTTTGCTGTCAAGTATTAGGGGATAGACATTTAGACTCACCTGCTGAACAGGCAGATGATGGCTTGAGCTCAGGAGTTCAAGGCTAGCCTGGACAACATAGTAAGACTCTCATTTTTAAAAGATAAAAAAATAAAAATTTGAAAAGTTTTGCTTCATAACTTCTTAAGTATATTCATCCTTCACTAATTCCCCCTTTTTTTTTTCCAGCTTTAATTGAGTTTATTGGTACATTTTAGGGATACAGTACAGTTACATTCATTGTTGGGACTTGGGATCTTGTACCTCTACATGACAAGTCTTGGTTCTCATTTTTTCCCCTTGTCCCTGCCCTCCCTTCACCCCCTTCTCCCCTCCCCATCTACAAACACTTTATTTCCATCTTTTCATTATCTCACATTTTTTTCTTTTCCCTTATTACCCTTTCCCTACCCATCCCACCTTCCCTACACCTTTAGCTCCTTCACTAATTCCTTTTGACAGTCATAACTATCATCTTAATGCCAGTACATAGTTTATATTACTATAATTATTATATGTAGAAAGGTACATCTATTTTCCTGTTATAGAACACTTATCTATAATTAGCATGTCAAGGCAGTGTTCTTTTTGTTTGTTTGTTTTGGTTTTTTGAGACAGGGTCTCACTATGTAGTTGAGACTGACCTGGAGGTCACTGTGTAGCCCAGGCTGGTCTCAAACTCACAACAGTCCTCCTGCCTCAGCCTCCTAGAGTTCTGGGATTACAGGTGTGCGCCACCATGCATAGTTAGCAACAAGCCAGTGTTCTTTTATTTTTATTTATTTATTTTTGGTACTGGGGATCAAACTCTGGTCCTTGAGCTTATAAGGCAGGCAACAGAACCATTGAGCTAAATCCATGGCTTCTTTTATTTCTTACCTAGGGCTTGTAGGCCAACATTTGCTTTCAGCAGGCTGTTGCTTCCTCCTTCCATTCCCTCCATTCAAATTCATTTTTTATATTTTATAAGGAAATGATAGTTTTCCTAGAAACAGCGGTATTTTAGGTTTTTCTTTTCAGTATTTTAGTTTTTTGTACTTAAGAGCCAGATATACCTGAGAATGGTTAAGTGTTTTAGCTTTTACCTTTGTATGGGAAATTAATGGTTATTAACCTATTACAGCCCAAAGTAGCACTTCAAAGACTAGGTGGTTTTGGAGCCAGAAATTAAGCTGCCGCCTGCTTCGCATGTGCAGGATCCTAAGTTCAATCTTGGGTATCCAAAAAAGAAAAGATGAGGTACTTTTGATCACATAGACCAGGACTCCGAAAGGCTAGACTGAGAGAAAGGCAAGCTTTAGATACTCAAAGGTCCTTTAGTCAAGTTTGTTTGTTGAATACCTTAAGTCAGTGATGGTGAATCTATGGCACATGTGCTGCAGCCAGCCGGTTTTAATCATTGAAAGCTCTACAAGGTTTGTTGTTACTGCTTTAATTAATACTCAGAGCCTATACAAAAGGAAATTATTTCTCTGAAATGGTTTCATGAAGGATTGTTGCAGTTTATGTTTTGTGTTGATCAGGTTCTTACAGGAGTTGCTGGGGAAGATGCAGAGTGTCATGCTGCAAAATTGTTAGAGGTCATCATTCTGCAGTGCAAAGGGCGTGGCATTGACCAGGTCAGTGAGGCTAACTTTTGGTGTTGGGGAGCTGGGGGTTGAACCCAGGGCCTCCTGCCTGCTCCACTTGGCTTCATTCTCAGCCCAATGCTCAGTTTTAGTGATTCATATTTGAGGCTTCCAAGAGAGAAACTTCTCATCTACTTTTTAGGGGCAGCAGCATTGTATGCTCTGCATAGTATTGTTCAAACTATTGGTTTGGGGGCCAGGGATGTAGCTGAGTGGCACAGCACCTGCCTAGCAAGTATGAGGTCCTGAGTTCAATCGGCAGTACCATATAAATAAACTAACCAACTATTAGCTTAAAATGTAACCAATACATAATAATGATCATATATTTAATATATATGGAAACATGACTGGTGAGTTTTGTTAGGATACAAGGTAAACTGGGTGACGTTTTTTTGATAGATTTAGTAATTAAATTTCTGTGGTCAGTTTTAATACAAACATTGAAATCTGTAATTGTGGTAAAGTTTATGTTTAACAGCCTAGAGAAGAATTTGTCCTCAGCAATAAATACCAGTCATCTAGGGCTGGGGATTTAGCTCAGTGGTGCCATTGACTGCCTTGAAAATGCAAGGACCCTAGCTCAATCCTTGGTACCAAAGAAAAAAAAGTCATCTAGGGGAGCAAAGGGGTTAATTGAGGCAACAAGTAAATTAATATAGATGAAATAGAATCCTGTCAGTTTGCTGTGTTGGATTATCCTTCATTCTTTCTTTACAGTGCATTCCCTTATTCGTGGAAGCAGCTTTAGAGAGGCTGACAAGAGAGGTTAAAACAAGTGAACTTCGAACGATGTGCCTGCAAGTTGCAATTGCAGCTTTGTATTATAATCCACACCTGCTGCTCAATACCTTAGAAAATCTTCGCTTCCCTAATAATGTTGAACCAGTTACAAATCATTTTATTACACAGTGGCTTAATGATGTTGACTGTTTCTTGGGGTAAGTGATATAAATTGGACCTTTATGAAGGACTGCTTGTTTAAGGAAATAGAAGAAAATTACTTTACTTTATTTTTATTTTAGGCTTCATGACAGAAAAATGTGTGTTCTGGGTCTCTGTGCTCTTATTGATATGGAACAAATACCACAAGTTTTAAATCAGGTTTCTGGACAAATTTTGCCCGCTTTTATCCTTTTGTTTAATGGATTAAAAAGAGCATATGCCTGCCATGCAGAACATGAGAATGACAGTGATGATGACGATGAAGCTGATGATGATGATGAAACTGGTAAGGAATTTGTGATAGAAGAAGCCAGAGCTCACCTAGTTAGAAACATCACTGGTCTTATTTTCTAGACCTTCTCTCAGAGAAATTTAGGATATAGGGAAATGCTTTTATGCTTGTTCATTCACACAATGACTTCTCACATCTTTTCTAGAGTATGAGGAATTTCCTCTAATTTCACTTGATTTTAGCCAAAAGGCTAAGAAGCAGTGATCCTATAAGGCAGTTCTAAATCTAAAGATTTGTTTGTTCTATATATGCTTGGCATTGTAGATGCAAGTGAGAATAAGAAGTCATTCTTCTTCAGAAGCTTTCTGTTCTACTGGGAGGAAGGTTTACAAAGTTAAATATAATAATAAAGTATATATAATAAGTTGGTTCAAGGTGCTGTGTTCATTTAGGAAAGAAAAGTAAGTCGTATAACAGTTGAGGAAGAGTTATAAGGGAGATAATAAAATGGTTTACCATTAACTTTATCTTATAAGCTAGTATAATCAGAACTACATAGATTTGGGCTGGAGATTTAGCTCGGTGTTGCCACACCTGCCTCATAAACACAAGGTCCTGGGTTCAGAAAAAAAAAAGTACATGGTTAATAAATTGTGAGGAAGACGTGAAGGACTTAACTTAGTGTTTGGCCCATGACATTCAATATATTACTGAATTAAGCTGTGCAGTGGCACATGTCAGTAATCCTCGCTACTCAGGAGGCTGAGGTAGAAGGATCACCTCTCACAAGTTTGAGAACAGCCTGGGCAACACAAGACCCCATCTCAGGGGGGAAAAAAAGCAGAAGATTGTAATTACTATTACAACATCTATAGTTTGTTGTTGTTGTACTGGGGATCAAACTCAGGTCTGTCAGCTTGCAGGCAGGCAGTAGAACCACTGAGCTAAATCCCTTGCCCTAAAGTTATAGTTTTTAATGTCTGAATTTATTGCAGATAACCATCCTGTCATTTATTAGTGCTAAAACCTACACTTGTTTATGTTATAAAATGAAGTCATTTAGATATTGGCTAATACATTTCACATATAGACACTACAGCCTACAAAAGTATAATTTTTTTGTACTGGGGCTCAAACTTGGGACCTTTTGCTTGTGAGGCAGGAAGCAGAACCACTGTACTAAATCCCTAGCCCTACAAGAGTATAAATTGATCAGTGAATGTTACAAAAGATTATTTTAATAGTTTCAAAATAGGGTAGCTATTGTCATTTTTGTCTTTATCAATTACTAACAGCCTTTTTAAAAACTGACAAAAGATCTGCAAGTATAACTTAGGTTATCAGTCACATATATTTATGCTTTTTTTTTTTTTTGTCATCAGTATTTAGTTTGATATATACCACATAGCCCAGAACATACCAAAGACTGAACCTCAATGTGTGATCCTAGTTCAAACTTCTAGCATAAAGAATACTTTACATTGGGTCAGAGATTTAGCTCAGTGGTGCCGCCAACCTACCTCACAAGCATGAAGTCCTGAGTTTGATCCCTGGTACAAAAAAAAAATAATAATAATAATAGTTTACATCATACCAGGGGTGGTGGCAAATACCTATAATCCCAACACTTTGGGAGGCTGAGGCAGGAGGATCACCATGAGTCGTAGGCCAACCTGAACTACATAGTGAGACCCTGGCTAAAAAAACAAACTTTAGGGCTAGGGATTTATTTAGCTCATTGGTTCCGTCTCCTGTCTGGCAATTGCAAGGTCCTGAGTTCAATCCCTGGTACCAAAAAAAAAACAACTTTACACCATGTTGGCTTTCTTGGATGCCTATGAAAATTGTTGCTGAACATGTGTTTAAAACACCAGTTCTAGGAACTTTTTGAGGTGATTGGTACTTTGTTTAATAATAAACTATTTCAATATTAAAAGGAATCTTTTTGTATGATTTGGTAGAGGAACTGGGGAGTGATGAAGATGATATTGATGAAGATGGGCAAGAATATTTGGAGATTTTGGCTAAGCAAGCAGGCGAAGATGTAGATGATGAAGCTTGGGAAGAAGATGATGCTGAGGAAACTGCTCTGGAAGGGTATTCCACAATCATTGATGATGAAGACAACCCTGTTGATGAGTATCAGATATTTAAAGCTATCTTTCAAAGTAAGTGAACAGGAAAAAATTAAGTTATATACATAACAAACAGTTACATACATGATTGGCTCTGGGAAGGCTGGTAATCCTAAAAGGGAAAGGGTAGTTACCAACTTTTTTTTTTTTTCCCCAACTCATTTTTGAACTACACTATTTTCCTAGAATGTGTGTTTTTCAGAATTACAAGCTAAAATTAATAGGATGAGAAACGTATACTCAAACTCAATGGCCACCTTACCGATAATTTTGAAAATTTGCCTACCCTTTTAAGGGGCAAACAAGAATAAATTCATTCGATTAAATGTTTTCATATATATGTTAACACTTAACCACTGGGCGTGGTGGTACACACCTGTAATCCCAGCACTCCCAGCACGTGGGAGGCTGAGGCAGGAGGATTCCTGTGAGTTCGAGACCAGCCTGGGCTACATAGTGAGTTCCAGGTCAGTCTCAACTATCCTGTCAAAAAACCAAAAAACAAAAACAAACACTTAACTTGTCAAAGAATGTGACTGTTAGTAACATTGTGGTTTTAGAATTCTGCTCTTTTTTTTTTTTTTCCTATGTCCTAAAATGTGCTAACCAATTCATTCTAATATTACTAGGTTAGCACCTTTGACATGATAATTTTACCTTCAGACAGCCAACCTAACCCCCAAATTTTAAGGTCATCTATGCCTGAATAGTCATAAACTTTTGGATCTGTCACAGCACATAAGGTTTCAGATTATAAAATGGCATTTTGGTTATCTTTGGGGGGGGGTGTTTTTGCCACCCCTCATCACCACCACCGGTCATCAAACTCAGGACCTTGGGCTTGCAAGGCAGGTGCACTGCCACTGAGCTAAATCCCGTCCCTTTTTAGGTTCTTTCTGAGATAAGGTCTCTACTTTGTAGTCAAGGCTGGGCTGGAACTCATGGCAATCCTTCTGCTTCAGCCTCTCAAATGCTGGGATTACAGGTGTGCCCAGCAAAATTGACATTTTGGAGAAATTTGTTGTTTCTCACAGATTAAATTTGACCACGATTTAGGCTATAATTTAAAAAAACTGTCAAGCTTGGTGTGGTAGTGCATACTTTGATCCCAGCACCCTAAGAATCTGAGGCAGAAGGAGCACAAGTTTGAGCCCAGCCTGGGTAACTTAGTAACTTAATGAGTTCTTGTCCAAATTTGAGATAGAAGGGCCAGGGATTTATCTCAGTGGTACTGCAGCTGCCTCGCAAGTTACGAGATCTTGAGTTCAATCCTTCCTTGGTATCCAAAAAAAAAAAAATTTTGTTTTTTGTTTGTTTTTGTTTTTGTTTTTTTGAGACAGGGTCTCACTATGTAGTTGACATTGACCTGGAACTCACAGCAATCCTTCTGCCTCCTTAGTGCTGGGGTTGCAGGCGTGCGCCACCATGCCCGGCAAAAAACATTTTTTTTAATAAAAAAGAACTGGAGATGGACGTCACTGTTCAATTTCCCAGTAACACACTCATGCACGCACAGCCATTGAAATTTTAATTTGAGAATTCTAAGGTTACCTTTCTGTGGAATAACTAAGAAAAGAAAAATTTTGAACCTAGGGCTTTGCATATGCTGGTCAAGTGTGCTACCATTTAGCCACACTGTATCCCAAGATGTATTAATAAAAGGTTTTTGAGTAGGCAAAGCAAGGAAAGGGCATTTTGCACCATTCACATATTTCCTGCATCTGCCTACTGCTTAAATGGGGAGAAGGGATAACAACCGGTCTCACTATGTAAGTTCAGACTTGCCTCAAACTCTCAGTGATCTTCCTGCCTCAACCTCCCAAGTTCTGGGATTGCAGATATGTGCCACCATACCCAGCCAATGCTTAAATTTAGGGACTTGGAAATTGTAACCAAAGTACCTTTGAGTCTTTAAGTTGCATAAAATGAATTTTTTAAGAGAATTAGCTACTTTTATTACTAAAGTCTGACTGGTAACATGTAAGAGTTGATTTAAGACTATAAGGATAATTAAATTGTTTTAAGCACAAAGATGAACTGTAATTTTTATTCCTATATATTTTGCATCACAAGGTAACTTTTTAAAGTTGTTTGAAGCATATAAAATACATCAGAATGTCATATCAGGTAGGGGAAAAGAACAGGAAATAGAATAGAAAGTAGTTGCCAGGGATTTAGCTCAGTGGTTCCGCCGCCTGCCTCACAAGTGCAAGGTTCTGAGTTTGATCCCTGGTACCAAAAAAAAAAAAGTAGCTACCTGTTTCTTATTCCTCTTTTCCCCTTTGTTTTTGTTTTGATAGCTATTCAAAATCGTAATCCTGTGTGGTATCAGGCTCTGACTCACGGTCTTAATGAAGAACAAAGGAAACAATTACAGGACATAGCAACTCTGGCTGATCAAAGAAGAGCAGCTCATGGTATGTTAGTCAACCACAAGCCCTCTGTGATGTGACTAATAGCTTTATACAGCTCTAGAATCTTAAGACGGAATTTAAGTTATAAAAGTATATATATAGGTTGGCTCTGTAGCTCAGTGGGAGAGTGCTTTAATAAGACTGGGTTTTTTTTTTGGTTTTTTTGTTTTGTTTTGTTTTGTTTTTGAGACAGTGTCTCACTGTATAGTTTAGGCTGAACTCACTCTGTAGCCCAGGCGTGCCTCAAACTTGGAGCAAGCCTACTGTGCTGGGAGCTACCATGCTGGCCAGACTGCTTAAACTTGGATGATGGTTTGGCTATTGTGTTAAAATATAAAAATTTTACAAGTTCGTTGTTTTAAAGAAAATTCGAGGCACTTCTTTCTTTAAACACTTTCGTATATGAGGAGCTTTTAAAAATTTGTATTGTTTGGTTTATTTTGAAGTATTAGGGATCAAATGTAGGCCTTGAGCATGCTAGGCAAGGGCTGTACCACTAAGGTATATTCTGGTCTCAGCATGCATTTTTTAAATATACACTTTTAAGTGTATTACAGCATAATAATCCCCAACCACCTTTATAATCAGTCAAAGAAGGGTCCTCTTAGTTGGGTGTGGTGATTCACACCTGTTATTCCTGCACTCTGGGAGGCTGATGCAGGTGAATTGCAAGTTCAGCACCAGCCTGGGCAACTTAGTGACTTAGCATGCCCTTGTCTCAAAAAGGGATGGGGATCGTAGCTCAATGTGAAGGCCATGGGTTGAATTCCCAGTTTGAGTTGGGGGGCTGTTTATAAATGAGGCATAACATTTTCTATTGTCTGCGTTTGATTTGTTGCACTTTTCTTCTTTTTGAGATGAGTCCTTATTGATACATTTGACTCGGTATGGGGTTTTTCAAGATTTCGTTTTCCTAACACTAGAAATTGTGTGTGGGGGACAATGGAAAGTGAAAATTTGCTAAGAATCTTCTCTACATAGTCCATGCCCTCTCACTCGTATGCACTCTGGCTGCACTTGGCATTTAGGTCATTGGTTTGTTTGTTAAGTATTGTCAGTTTGTCCCCCCAGCCAAAGTAGTAAGACAGGATTGCCCTATTAAACTTTTATTTGTTCTCTAGAATCCAAAATGATTGAGAAGCATGGAGGATACAAATTCAGCGCTCCAGTGGTGCCAAGTTCTTTCAATTTTGGAGGCCCGGCACCAGGGATGAATTGAGTTACCACTTTCTTTCCTGCTGTGTGGTTGTAGTGAAGAGCTTGTGTTCCTCCTTGTAGTGGTTCCAGAACTGGTTCGTGTTATCTACTCTAAACTAATTGATCAATAGATGGACAGAAAAAAGGAAGAAACCCAGGAGTTGGGACCTGATCATGCAACCTGGCACTGGATGAGAAACCAGAGGGATATGGGGGAGGGTGACTAGTGAGTATTTTCTTTATTTTTTGAAGAAAGTAAGATCCTGACTGAAGCTTCAAGTGACACTGTGGAAATCTGAAACAAGAGGGGATGTCATGAAGGCAGCTTTTCTTTTTCTGAGGAAAAAAATAGGCATGGGCTACAGGACTATTTAAAATGTCTCATTTACAGTATAAAAAAGCTCAAAGGTAGATGTAATTTATACACCTATGAGTATGTGTCCGATTTCCGTCTCCTCACCATTGGATATTCTTTATATGTAAATAAGATAAGGTAATCTCATAGCCTTATTCAGTCTTCATCATTTTCATTCATCAAACATTGTTCCTATGTAGATTATTGGACATTTATTGTAGCACTACATAACTGATTTAAAAATCTGTAAATGAATTAGCACTTTCATATTGAAACAAGCCTGCTAGCCTATGTATAAAAGCAAAAATGTTTGCTGTTTATAAAAGGGATATGATGGGGTGGGGGGGCAGGGGTAATTTCAAGTTATTAATTTAAAAATGAACTAGCAATTTTGTACCTAGTGACTTTGTGGTGCACTCACCTCTGATAGTGACTTGAATTCGGTATGTAAAAAGGGGTTAGTGATATTTCATTGCTGCTAAAAATGGCAACTCCCTCTGTGTCCTGTATTTTTTTCTTAAAGCTCTCAGTGTACAAGTGGATATTTGGATACAAGACCTTACTGTAACAAATAAAAAGGTGGTATCTAAAACATGTAAGTTGGATATAAAGTTCTGCTCTTAAAAAGAGTTGATCTTAGAGTATGGCTAAACATCTATATATTTAGTGTATTAAAAAGGACTTAATTTGGCTATTATGTCTTGATTTGGTTATAGCTTTGTTCCTAATTATAGTTTCCCCCTTCATTGGCCTGTTTTTATCCTGAATCTAGAATGAGTGCAAAATGCACACTTAAAATTTGATATTTTAACACCTGCCCACTCTCCTATCTCCCCTCTACCCTCTTGATGATTGTGGTATCTGATTATAACTAGATGGGCTGAAGGCACATGGTTCCTTCCAAAAACCACTATTGATACCACTGCAAAAGAAGCCAGCAGCAAGACAGTGTAGAGAGGTTGGATTGCTTCCCTCTCTTCCTAACTGCATGTTCAAAATAAGCCTTTACTGATCTTTAAACATTTGTCAGATAAGTCATACATTGGGTTATTTTTTTATACACATGTATTCACAATATTTCAAATTGAAAGCAACACTTCAATCAATTGAAAACTATTACATGCTGTTGTCTTAAACAAAATTTATAACTGTAAAAATGAAATGCACATATTTAAAATGCATAATTAAGTAAACCTGTTGGTGTTGTGTTTTTCTTGTATACCAATAATTAAGCCACTATTGTCGGCACTGTTCCATTTTCTATTTTAACACTGAAGGAATGAAAGTATTTCATTTATGAATTTATTACTAAAATTTCAGCAAAAAGAAAAATATTGTCTAAAATGTGTAGGTAAAAAACTGTTAACTGTTTTTACTCCTTTCCCTCATGCTGAACACCAACTGTATATCCTAGGTTGCTTAAAGGGATTTCATTATTATATAAAATCAATAAAATAAAAATGGAGTAGTTGTATATATGCAACATTGTGTACAGAGGGGAGCTATTGATAGTATGATGAGTCTTGTCTTCCTTTTTTTTAATGTGTCCCATAATACTTAGTTTACTTTTTTAAATTTCAGACTTCATTGCTCTTTGAATTGATACTTCCAATTTTCACATTATTGTTGTTTGAAAACCATATCTAATAAAGGTTTTAGTTATTCCCATGCACAGAATGAAAATGTATTGGCATTGAGAACAAGTTTTATTGTGGGCCAAGGATTTAGATCAGTGGCACAGTGCCTGCCTGGCAAGTGTGAGTTCCTGAGTTTGATCCCTGGTATCCAAAAAAAGGCAAGTTTTATTGTGTCCTGTGTCAAATAATCCAACTAATATCCATTCACAGTTTTGTGGGTTTTTTTGTTTTGTTCTGTTTTTCTGGTACCAGGGAATTGAACTTGGGACCTTGTGTTGCGAGGCAGGTGACATGTGCCACCACGCCTGGCCTGAAATGTGATTTCTACTGTAATCAGTTATATAGGTTAGTTTTCATGACTTCCTTAAATTTAAAATCAGATTACAGTTTTGGAGTTTTGCAGTGTTGTTGAGAGTTGAACCCAAAGATTTTTTAGGTATATCTCCCGCACTCTATTTTTTAAATTCTTTTTTGTTTTGTTTTCTGGCACAGAATTTTCCTCATGACCTTATGCTTGCAAGGCAGGCTCTGAGCTGGGATTTACCCAGCCCCCCACTTTTTGAGGCAGGGTCATTTTTTGTGTTTGGGGGTGGTGTACCAGGGATCAAACTCTGGACCTTGCCTCGGTCTCCTGAGTGGTGGCATTACAGCCACCACATCTGGCTATTTTTTAAAATTCTGACAGGGTCTTACTAAGTTGTCCAAGCTGGCCTTGAACTTACCCTCCTGCCTCAGCCTTCAGAGTAGCTGGAATTACAAGTGTGCCACATGGCCATCCAATTAGTTTCTTACAGATTGTGTATCAAGACATCTTGGAGTTGCTAGATGAGGATGCAAGGCTTTTAGAGACTTTACCAAAGTATTAATAATTAAATGTTACTTTTTTTCTACTTTCCCTATATAGCCTTTTCCAGTTTTACAACCCTATTATTATCTTATTTTAGATGTACCCCATTGAGAATAGTAGGGTGCTATACATAGCTCAGAAGAGAACAGCGAATAGAGTAAGGGTGGCCAAACTACATATGCTGTTATTCATATTCAGTCCCAGAGGGAAAAAAGGCATTAAGAATGAGATAAATTTCTTGTATGAGCACACACTAAAACACACTTTGAATTTATAAAATGAATGGCCTAAAATTACATTTAAACAGTTCTGTACAGTGAAAAAAAATATGGCATATATTCAGTTTTAAATTGTATTACAATGAAAGACATGCTATTAATTCCCCTCAGAACACTTCCCCTTGGGCTGTGGTTTTAGCTCAGTGGCACCTCCCATCCCTGGCAAGTGCAAGGTCCTGAGTTCAGTCCCTGATAACAAATGAACAAACAAAAAAAGTTCGCTTTGAACACTTACAACATTCTTTGGGTTTTTTTTTGCTTTTTTATTTATTTATTTTTTGATACTGGGAATTGAACTTGGGTCTTTGCGCTTGCAAGGCAGGCAGCGGAACTGCTGAGCTAAATCCCCGGCCCAACATAAAACATTCTTGTTACTTTCTGAAACAGTCCTAGAAATCCTTCCTCCTGAGTGTATTTAGTTGTACTCTTGTAGTTGGCTACATCAGTGACCCGAATTGATTTAAAACTTTTTGGACTGGGGATTTAACTCTGATTCTGCCACCTGCCTCCTAAGCACAAAGACCCAAGTTCAATCCCTGGTACAAAAGAAAAAAAAAAAACTTCCATGATCATTTTGACTTTGAAGAGCCAGAAGTGGCTCAGTGCCACATGTAATGAATTAGTGGATGAGGCATGTTTTTGACAAATTGCTATACCAGAAGTGATATGACATAGCGTTATCATGATGGAGGATGAACTGTCTGCCCATTTCTCAGGCTGTTTTCTGCACACAGAAAATTAAGCCCTTACAATGTTCAGAGTTCACCATCATGTTCCTGGGCACAAACTTGGTTTGCACAATTCAGCAGTGTCAAAAACATCAGGCTGGGGCCGGATATTTAGCTCAGTGGTTCCACCGCCAGCCTTGCCAGCGTAAGGACCCGAGTTCAGTACCTAGTACCAGATTGCTAGTATGCCATGTGTTAAGGACTTGGGTACAAACCCAGTATACTACTACCACCACCAAAAAAAGATTGATGTGTTTTACACATGAGAATTGGGTGATTTCCATTAAGGACTTTAAACCTTGATCTTAGAATCATAACTATAGACCCCAAATATCATTGTTCATGATCACACTTCTTAACCAACATTATGCCTACTGTTCTATTTTTGGAACACCACAAACAATGGAGCATAATTTTTCCTCTTCAAATTTTTGTTGCTTGAATTTTTCTAGGTAACATGAATTTCATGTAAAATTTTAAAAATTGTAATACTTGGTATAAATGGATTAAAACTGCAATTTGAAGCTGCAAAAACCTGCAACTCTGAAACTGACAGATTGCTTTGTTCTAGTCACAACATATTAAATTTAGCACTGTCCTCATGTTCAAATCTGTTAGAATGCTTTGAGCAAAACTATAGTTGAAACTTGCCACACATTGAAAAGTTTGGTGCACTGTTTCTCCTATTGAAGACCCTTCCTATTGATTGGTACTTGGATGCAGCATTCAGTGGTTTTGAACACGTTTCCAATTTAAATGTTAGCAAAGTCATCTGTGACCCATTTATAAGTGTTTTCACTCTATATTCCAGCTTTATCCTTTGCAATAGCATTTTATACTTTGGCTCAGAGTAAAGATTGCATGTCAGTTTATAATGCTTTTGGTGATAGTGCTGTAGTTTCCACTGGAGGATAGGTAAAAATTACCTTTAGAAAAAGAGCAGCTGGAGGGCTGGGAATTTAGCTCAGCGGTTCCACCACCTGCCTTGCAAGCATAAGGACCCAGTTTGATTCCAGCACCAAAAAAAACTCCTGGGCTGGGGATTTGGCTCAGTGGTTCCGCTGCCTGCTTCCCAAGCACAAGGGCCCAACTTCAATCCCTGGCACCAAAAAAAAAGAAGCTAGAAAAGTCTAGGCTTTGGAGATCCAAAGACCAAAATTAACAGCAGTAGGAATCATGTTAGTCCTTTGAGAGGAATAAAGAAATTTCTGTGTGTAAAGTTATCCCCCTCCAGAT